TCTTTTGATTCGCACATTTCAAAATTCTCTGAATGAATACAGTTGAAACAAGTAATATATTTTTCAATCCCTAACAGTTGCCATGCCCACCTTCAACAGCCTTGTTTGAGCTTTACAGCCTACATGTAGATGTTACATACACATCTGTATAGTCATTAGAAAGAACTAATTTTACACTATATTCTGACAATGGTTATTTTGAAATTGGTGCAGAGTCTTTGTCATGGAGTACATGGAACTGACTGTAGTATTATTGGCTGCTTGATTGACAATAGCTCTTATGGTAGTTTCTTACCTGAATATGGTATAGTTAAGAGATCCAGATTAAATTTGAATTTAGGTCTTACTATTATGTTTTAGTTAATTGTGCATTAGTAATGTTTTAAAATGCATAATTAAAAGGTTTAAACATTTTTTAAATATACATTGTACTTTGTGTCCGCTCTCAAGGCTTACAATATTATGTGCTGAATGAATATATTTCAAAGGGTTGAACATGTCTCCTAAAGACACTGTAGTATGCCTCGAGGGCACCATTGACTTATGTTGAGATGAATAATAAATGATAAAGAACAAGAAAGAAAAAGAAAAATATTAAAAAATTAACTGCATGTGAAAAGGAAAATGCCTGAAATTATGAATTTAACAAAACAGGAAATCTCTAAAGATATTCTACAAAAAATATAAAGTATGTTTTTTGTTTGTTTTTTTCCTATTTCCTAATTTTAATTATTTCATTGCATTGTACATTGATGATAATAGCTAGAGTTAGTGATATGGTAGAGAAAATGAATAAAATATAAAAATTAACATTAAATAAACTTTTGTTATCCTTTTAGGAGGTTCTAGAGATTATGCAAATGAAATATGAAAACTATAAGACGAAGAAAATTATTTTTATACTTAAAATGAAAAACACCTTACACTAAGTTTGTTAATAGTTTGAGTTCAAGTAACTACAATAGAAAAATAACATTTTTAATAAAAAAATTAATTATTAAGATGTCATTCTTTGTGTACAAGATACTTATGATCTTTAACAAAATTTAACTAAAATTAAACTGGTGTATTTACGTGTTTTACACTCACCAAAAAGAAGCCTATCATTCTATAGGTATTTGAAAAACTTGTAGCAATCCACCACAATTTAATCCTTCGTATTGTTATCTGACACTGGGCAGCTTGTACATAATTGAATAAGTAGAGTTGTTTAAACATTTGTTTAATAACAAGTTAAAGCGTGGAATGGTCTATTCTTTCATTGGGGTGTGTGTCTGTGAGCCAGACTAGTTTCGGAGAATGTTTAAGCAACTCTAATTATTCAAAATTTAACTAGTTTTGAGAGGATATGTTAAGAAGTCTCAAAGTGACAGCAAAAGTATTGTTGTACAAGTGAAATTCGTGATTTGATTTCCGCAAATTGCCCAAGCCCAGTGTGACAGAGTTAAAAGTACTTCAACTGATAATTTTCATAATCTCTAAAATCTCCTAAGTAAATATTAAACTTTTTTTTAGAAAAACTATAGTTTATGTTATTTTCTCTACCATAACTTCATACAAGGTAGGTCAAATTGACCAACCCCACAAACACCATAAAAAAAGGAAATAATTCTACCTTTTTTTTCTTTCCAGAATTACTGCAAGTTGTAACTTGCTCAGCAAACGTGTTTCTCACATTACTGTATTGAATTATGTAATGTATGAACTGCTCATGAACATTGCTCGTAAAGTTTTTACTGATTTTCATTATCTTGCCTCTTTTCACCATATCTAAACTAATAAGTTTCTAATGTTTACATTTTAGTTACTTTATTAATAATAAATAAAGAATACATGTGAAAACAAGAAATATATTACTTACCTGGGTGTTTTTGTTTCTCTGCTGTCAATTGTCGATGAAACTTCAGCTTACCTTTTGTTTTATACGAATGGTACTATTATACTAAATAATTAGTTATTTAATTAAATACTGCACCTAAGAACATAGAAAAATTACATGGAAAATAAAAAAATGTCCTATAAATATGATAATTTTTCTGGCTTTCTAACCATGTGTTAGAAAAAATTCAGCTAAGCTTGTCGATGTGATACCATTGAAAATAAATTCAAAACTGAAGAACAAAATAAATAATGCCCTATACAGAAAACAACTTAATATAATAAGTCGTTTGTTAAATTAAAAGTTTGCTTTCTATTGGTTATAAATAATATAGTATAAAATGTCAGAGAGAACTATTGGCAATTCATAAACAAGAGGACTTGACGGGTGGGTGTGGCAAGTGGGTCTGATTTTTTAGTTTATGTCTCCATAAACAAATATGGTTGAAGGCTATAAAAATTATGCTTTGCCTCAGTAATATCTATATTATAATAAGTAATTTATGTTATATTCCATACTTCTCAGAGGGGTGGTAGATAGATTGGAAAATAGGGAAGACCTAGACAGCAAATGTCACAACTTTCATATTAGGGAAGTATTATTTAATGGATTTGTGACTGGAATCATGTTAATGGTGCTTATGGATTACCAATGTACGTAATTATTTTCTGATAGCGTTGAAGAAGTCATTAGAAAGCTGGTCTCCAAGATACAAGGTTTTGAAAGTAATTGAATATTAAATTGTTCTTAAAATGCCAAATCAACTCATTAAGTACATAACTTTTATAGAGCTGCAAAGGATCTGCTAAAATTTAATGAAGAATCATTTTATATGGTAATTTAATATCAATACACTTTAACCCTATCGCCATGGGTATCCTTTACTGCGCATACACAAGGATTTAGTGTCTTACATTCAAAATTATATTAAACTACTTTTTGTTTATGTTTTACCAATTAAAATAGCATAAAATCTTAGCTAATAATCCATATTTTAATAGTATACAAGTTATAAGTTCTTAATCTTACAAGGCAATATAAAAAAAACAGAATTTCCCCTAGTGACACATTTTCTCTTAGCATGTCATCTTCCCTATGTTATCCGCCACCCCTCGAAAATGTATGAAATTAGATGTAAATTACTCTATAAAATCATCATTTCTCAGACAAACCAGAATTTTTATAGTCTTCAGTTTTGTTTGGTTACAGAGCTATCGAATAGAAAATCGGACCCCTCCTGCCACACCTACCTGTCACATCCTCTCTTTCAGAATTCATTGATAATTCTCTCTTACGTTTAATTTTATATTACCTATAACCAATAGAAAGTCAAGGTTTTCATCTATTAAATGATGTATTGTATAACATTATGTTCTGAACAGTTAAATGTCAATTTCACTCAGAGTACCAACATCGTTTCTGTAAGAAAGTTAACAATTAACTTGGATGAATTTGTAACTGCTCTTCTCGCGTAGTTAGAAAGCCAGAAAAATTTTGAGAGGTAAGGGAATTTGTCTTCTTTTTGTATGTTATTAGTCTATATTCTTTGGTGCATTATTTGATTAAATAAAAAATTTTAAGTGCATCACTACCATTAGTATAAAAAATTTGGGTTAAATCTCTTTGACAATCGACAGCAAGAAAAAAGAAGATTGGTTAAGTATTTTATTTCTTGTTTTTTACGTTTATTCTTTATGTATAAGTATAAAAGGGATCCTTTTAGGTTAGTTCAGATTAGATTAGGTAAAATAGACAATAATAATATAATAAAAATGTTTCATGAGGCACACACGTAAGCAGCTTGTGGGTAATGTAATTTGTTAGCGTAACATGAGCTGCGTGTTCCCGAAATGATTTACACCTTATAATGGTGCGGATAGTAGTTAGGTTATGGTTCAAAGGGCAATAAAATGTAATTATAAATAGATGTATACTCTTACAAACTTAGAGCTACTTAGAATAAACGAATGTAGTTTTATGTTACAATTTGATATCATTCTAGAAAGACAAAAAGGGTAATTTAGATTTATTTAGATTTTTTTCTTTGTTTTTTGTTGTTACAAGGCCAGTCGAATTGACTGATCCATTTTAAAATAGGGTAGAAAAAATAACAGATAAACTATAAAGTTTTACTGAAAAAGAAACGTTTGAAATACATTTAGGAGGTTTTAAGGTTTACACAAAGAAAATTTGAGATTTTTGAGATGAGGAAAAGTATTTTTAAT